ATGGTGAGTGTGTGCGAATCGCCAGTCCGCATACTGTAAGCCAGAGAGAACCCCCGGTCGCTACCTTCACGTACCTCCTCCCCACTTGTACTCTGCGCCGAATGACAGTAGTCTACGATGATGATGTTTTGTCGCGAGCAGCAGGCAGGGCGAATCCCACGAAGGGCGACTCAGGGCAATTGCTCACCACCCGCTTTTTCAGGGTATTGTCAGCTTGTTGAGGAACACATTTCTGGGGGGATATAAAATGCAGTTGATTACAATCCGTTGAAGCAGAGTTCGTGGCTTTGTCAAAGGGGTGCAACATCATCAAGTACTTCCGCCACCTGCTGGACACCATAAATCAGACTCAGGAAGAAGCAACCGTGGTGTGGGAGGACAACTCGGGAGCTCTAAAATTAACTCTCAGCTTCCGTATCACCCCAAGGACTAAGCACATTGACGTAAAGTTTCACCAAGTAAGGTCGCTGGTAGCTGATGGAGTCGTAGACGTGAAGCAAATATCGACGTCGCTCCAGAAAGCGGATATTTTTACGAAAGGGCTAAACCCGTCGGAGTTTCTCCGCGCCCGTGGCATGCTGTTAGGAGTTTGATCACCTCCCCTCTTCGTAATCAGACTTTATGTCTTGAGGGTTGGATGGTGTATGTGTGTGTATATGTTAGAAGAAAATTCGGGAGATTTGTGTCGAAGGAAAATAAATCGCTGCTGATGCAACGCAGCTGAGAAAGGCAAAACAATTGATATTGAGTCAGAAGTTCTTAAGATAGCCTTGTTTCGAGAGGACATGGATATTGTTTCGAGAGGACATACATTGAGAGAGAATTGGATCTGATGCATTGATTGGTACTAGAATGACGTAGTTCTTATGAGGACATGTTGGAGTAATTGCGGTACAAGAACGACTCTATATCTACTGCATGGGTTTATGCGGTATTGTGAAGGCGTTGCCAAGTCTGTAACCGTCAGGTGAAGACAGCTTGGGCGTCTGTGTTGATAATAAGATCACCCTGTGTGTTTGCCTACCGAACCTCGCATCACATGCCAGCTACTTTGTAGCCACAGCTGAAGGAATAGCTGTACAGCAACTGCAGTGACAGTGCTGTTGCCTCAACACAAACACACACGTGTGTCGAATAATAGGAGGAAGGAGTAAAATATTCGCTCTCCGCCCCCATCTACTCTGTACATCTATCATCAACTCCCACCGTGCCATATAGCCCAACCAAGATGAAGAGTGTCTGTGTGTAGCGCTTCAGACGTGCGCCGGAAACAAATGGCATCACTCACCACCTCCATACGGCCACCAAACCGCACGACGACGGGTTGCAGCGCTTTGTGCCTCATGAGAGGTGTCAAAGTCAGCGGTCTTATGCATACATGGTCTGGCAGCACGCAACATGGGCAATGAATTGCGGGAACATTGTTTTGTTGGGCCACCTATAGAGAGAATGTCTTGTTGACTTAGTAGACTATGTAACTGAGAGCAGCAGTATAATAGTGCACTATTATGGCCCGTGCCAAACTGCTCATGCCCAATGGCGAACCTTAACCTTTTCCCGGCGGAATCATCTCGTGATGAAAACTGTTGTCGCTTCCGCACGATGAAAGAGGTGCCCAATAGGATCCATGTATTAGTCCGCGGTTCAAGGATATATATCTGTCTGTCCATCGGGCCATCGGGGGCGCTATAGTCTACGCCGCTCTTCCCCAGCATCCTTTGAAACCTAGGTAAACCTCACGTGTACAATGTACGGCAGTACATTGTTGGCAGAAAAACGTGCGTGACCCGTGACGGTGCAATTAGCAACAACCGATGGGCATTTGGGCGAGCGAAGTAATGACAGGGGTTGCCGAAAGCGAGAGAAAGATACCACATAGACTAGCTGCTCAAACAACGACGAGAGCTAGCTGTCTTGAAGATCTCCAGCGAGCGCCAGCTCTTCATCTCCGGTTTCTCCCTATCGAATCATCCTGGTGCAAGTACACCCTCGCTGATTGCGCGCGAAGCGGGTGTGTAACGCATTGAGATTGAAGTGGCATACGAGTCGAAAGGAAGTGTGGTGCTGGTCATCAGCAGCAAGCGGCAGACGCATGGACAGAGTGGACCGCGCAGATACAGCAGCAGTATCATCTGTGGAGGATATTAAGAAAAAAAAAAAAGGGACAACGAGGTTCTGATTCTTCGGAGCCCCGGGGTACCCTCGTTTCATAATATCGACTGTTGAGCCCCTGCGGCAAGCCTGTTTGGAGCAGTGGAGCTCGCCATCCCCACGCGTTACGCAACTCCATCACCCCCAAACTTCCACCCGTCACCCTCTCTAAGGTATTTGGTCAGCCGGGCTGTCAGCTCGCTGCGGTTGACTGCAGTGTGTGCTTATTAAGTGTGTGTGTTTTGGCTGCCTGCTCTAGGCGTAGATAACCATCGTGTGGATAGATTCCTGCCACAGAGCTTGGCAAAGCAGCAACCAGAGAGAGGACGCTTGTGGACTAGAAAAACGCATTCTGTGGTTGCCTCACCAAGTGTCGTGACGAATCATGCTCGCGTTCGCTGCCTGCTTAAGTATCCGCTGGCGTTTGTGTGCCGAAGTTCACAATTGCAATGTTTGTTTTTGTATCGAAAAGTGCCGTGTACATTCTAAATGTGAGACAAACTCACGAGCAGCGACCAATCGCAGCTGGGTTTCGACGGGCCAAGACAAAGCAGGGTGGGTTCAACACAACAACACAACGCAACACCAACACAACACCGCCCCGACTTGTTTCACACGCTGTCTCAGGGGCCTCTATAATCACCATGGTTGAAGAGGTTGGTTCGGACATCATGGCCGCGCGAGAGCGCATGATCGCGAGGCGATTTGGAGGGGCGAACGCCACTCGGACAGGTGGCGTACGGAGGAAAAAGAAGAACGTCCACAAGACGGCGACTTCCGGTGAGCCAAGAGCAAACCAACAGCTATTATAGCCGACAGCAGGGTCAAGAATTAAGAGGATGCAACACTTATTTTGACGCTGAAAGCTACTGTGGTCTTTAGCAACGTCGCGAACACATTCCCTAGCCCTGTAATAGTGCATGGTATGACCCCGTTTGCCCCCTCGCTGACCAAACCAGGTATCTTTACCTCTTGTTGTTGGATACCCTCTTCGACCAGGATAGAGGAAAAGGGGTGCTGTTGCATGGTTTTGTACATTCCCTCAAGAAGCTTATTCTAAGGATATCGTCTTGCTCATTTTTGCGTGCACGGATGGTTTGGTTAGTGTTATTTCGTTATTTCTCGATCCGGTGGGACTCTTCATTATATTGTCGCAGGTACGCAATATTAACATTTCACCATCTCAGTGGGGCGATCCGCAAGATGCAGACGAATTTGGCCTTAGCAAAATATCCTTCGTATCTAAACGAAACTCGTGGGGTGTTATGCGTTTCCAATACTGTCCTCCCGATATGTAGCTTGGATCTCTCATGTACAGCGGTAGTTCCCCCAACAGTGCTGTCATTGTGACCAACTCAACGTGTGAAGAAACTCACGCCAGAGACGCAGCAGCATGAGAAATTGGAAAGTTGTGTCGTAGCGAGAAATCTCTCGGCGCTGCTCTATGCACACCTGTCATGATGAAGTGCTTGGATGGCACTGCACTCGTGGGTGTGAGTTCGAAAGCCACCGGTTGCTCGGTTTCTACCAGTTGTACGAAAAAGCCCAGGTCGACCAAGCCGAAGGACTCAACAGCCGGGCCGCGCGACTGCTTTTGAAGTCGTACTGCAAGTGGTCGTTAGTATGTTTTCGCCCTCACTTCCAATTAAAACCGGGTTCGTTCGCTCGAACGTCCTGGTGGTTTGAAAATTCACGTTCTTACCCAACTGACGTTGGGACGCCACCAATAACACTACTGTATGCAGCGGTAGTCACTCTTGCTCTAATGTTGGAAGCTACTGCTGTTCTCATAATGTCGCCCGCACATGGCACGCTCATGCATACGATACCGCCCTCCGTGGCTGTGGCGGGTCTCTTTTTTCTTTCGTCCGACAACCGTCTTGCTGGGCCCGTTTCTGCCGAGCCAAAAATTCTTAGGAACCGGCTCCCTAGATTGGATGTCGATTGTAGAGATGATGCCGTGTGCAATCTTCGCAATGGTACCGTGCGGGGCTGACAGCGCGAGATCGCGGCCAATGACAGCTGTGGCGTCGGTTGTTGGTTGGGTGGTTACCGTTACCTTTCCCACCCAAGAATTAATTGTATGGCTATTGGCTGCCTTTTGTATCTCTTTCCTCGAGGGGTCGCTCATGCCTCTGATGCTGCTTGCTGGTCTTTGGGCGATCGTTTGTGTCCGGTCGCGTTGCATCTTTTTGCCGGCTGTGGACCTTTTCAACTCAACTCTGGATTGAAAAATCCATTTTGCGAATAACGTGGCTGTAAACGTCATGCCAGTCGATTCGCGACATCTTCGAATCTAGATATTTTGTTTCGGAATTAGAAAGTTCGACGGAAGTAAGCCACAAGAGGGGTGAGCTTGCCTGAGAGGCCCTTCCTGCTGCGCTGTGCATAGCAGTGCCGGCTGCCGTACTTGTCTTGTACGCACCGAGTGCCGTACCCCAGAAATCGAACGGAGAGGCAAACAGTAGCCAAGCACGCGAGATGATCTCTTTCTTCTCGGCAGATATGCTGCGCACGTGCAGTTCACAGCAACGTTAACTGAAGGCATGGTAATGGTGAAGGGTGAAACGTTATCCGCACTCAACGATGAGCCGAACTTCGCGTCGGGCAGTCGGTTGCCCGTACCCTGTTGGTTTAAAACACGACCTCACCTCTTCGTGCTGCTTTGCGATGTTCCATCACGCTTACCGTATATGTCGAAGTGTCCGGGTATTCATCTTCCCCTTGTAGTGTTGCCGTGATCAATGCGGTCCGTGATGATGGCATTGGTTTTGACTGGGCTGTATCTCTCCCTCTCCCTCTCCCTTCCATTCTCCTCTTTTGCAGACGACAAGAAGCTGACAACGACCCTCAAGAGGATCGGCGTGACCAACATCCCGGCCATCGAGGAGGTGAACATGTTCAAGAACGACGGCGAGGTTATCCACTTCGTAGGGCCCAAGGGTGAGAGGACAGATACTGCAGTGCACCGAATGACATGCGCAAGTGGCATGCGTTGTTGGACAATAATCCAAGCGGCCTTGGAAATTGTGGATGGTAAATCGTACCGGTAGATGGTTTCATGCCGCGACGAAGTAGTTTTATTTTGATTTGTATTTCCTCCTTGTTTGCCATGTATGGCGTGTACTTTCAAGCCTGTTTGAACGAAGGCCCGTATGTGAACATGGATCGGTTGTACAGCCAATGTTCGCAGGCATCTTGCATGTGCGTCCGTTAGTCCTTTCGATGTTTGGTACCAATAGAGTCGTCTTGAGTGTTTAGGGCATGTAGTCGCCACTTTGCACAGAGCTATCACATGCATAGCTGTTGGAGAAAAGTTGCCACCGCGCATTGCCCTGTTTCGACCATGCTTTTTTTACACATTTTCCAAATATTTTCGGCTTGCGTGATCCGTTGCAAGTGGCCTTGAATCTCAGGGGGAGAACTCTGACGTTGCAATACCATTACCGTCTTGTCCCTTGGCTGTGCTCACACTGCTGGGTCCACTTTCTCTCTGCTTCTGTTGCGTGTGTGCGTGTTGTTTGTGTTTCCAATGAAATGGCAGTTCAAGCATCTGTGGGCGCGAACACGTACGTCGTGAGCGGTCAATCGGAGACCAAGAGTGAGTGCACCTAAGTCCCCGATTCGCCTACCGCCCGATTCATCTCCGAAGCAAACGCGCGCATTTTCACGATCAAAGATGTGTCGAGGCTCTACTATTTAGAGTGGATGCAACACATCTGCGCTCATCAAAGTATGGGATTTAACTATGCGCCAAAAGCGCCTTCGGATTTCGAGAATCCTGCCGCAGGGTGTGCCATGGCGTGTTGTACTAGTATAGCCCGTGCTGGCGTAGTCTATGATCTGTTTGGTGTGTTTCTTTTGAACCACGTTCCACCAGAGCTACCGTGGCAAGCTGCCAACAGTCTGCGCGTGGTTCGTGGCTTTACCTTTTAATCCACTGGCCGCGATGTTTGCTTGCATCGTAACGTCGCTGCATCGACCTGACCGGCTGTTTCTTCATCGTGTGGAAAATTGTGTGTCGATCATTTTGCAACGAACAGAGTTGCAGGACCTCCTCCCGGGCATCATCAACGAGCTTGGACAGGAGAACCTGGACCAGCTCAAGGAGATCGCCGGCAACTTCCCCGGGGGCGAAGCGGGCGCGGGAGACGACGAGGACGATGTGCCCGACCTCGTCGAGAACTTCGAGGAGGCCTCAAAGTAACTAACTCCACGGCACCCTCTGTAGCTAGCTTGCTCGTGGGTGTGGCTCCGTGGGATGGGGTCTGGTGGGGGGGGGGGGACTTCGGGGGGTTTCCATCCCTTTTTTGGTCGTTCGTTGGAGCCTTGTTGGAGCATGATCGCTCTCATTCTCGGTGTCGGTGTACCGGTACAACTCGAGTTCGATTTCGGGGTGTGCGACAGCGGGCATCCGCTCTTCGCCGTGGCTGGTTTCGTTCCGCAGCTGGCGCACACCGCATTGGGATGTTGCTGGAAGCGGAACCCGACTGGTCCGAGTTCAAGACTGCAAGACCGCTTTCTTTGGACTAGGTACTGTAGATTGTCGCGTGTTAGATGTTGCTAGGAGAACACGGGTCCGCCTAGTAGCCCGTGGTGGGTACAGTGCAGTAGTGTAGCTGGTCGGTGGTCATCGGCGTAGGCTACAAAAAGCGCCCGCTGTCCGTTGGGCGACTGCTGGTCAGTTGATCTGTGTTGGCATCTCGTCCACTTGTAGCTGATCAGGTGCTTTCTTGCCATGTGTCTACCATTTGGTACTCATAGCTGTGGTGCCGATCTACACCCTCCAGTGGTCGGTCATGAGTCAATTGAGGTTTGTCCAACGCCAACCGAGATCCGCGATTTTATCTCCTGCCAACTGATGTTTTTCATCATAGCCGCCATTGATGTTTTAAGACCCAACCCTACAAGCGACGGTTTACAGTACATCAATCCTGCAGCTTGTGGCAGGAGCTGTTTTGCTGTTTTGAACATGTGCATAGAAAGACGCGTTCTCCCCAAGGTGTACGCGATATGGACATTTTTTCGAATTGGGTGAAGTTTCGGATGGCGTCCATCGAACGGTCCGCTACACCCACAATCGAAGCACGCAATTCATTCCTGTAATTGCCTTTGTATCGGTTTTGGTTGAGCCACTGCCCAACTTCCGTCGCGGACAACTTCATCCAGTATGCGTGCGTTAGGTGTGCCAAGGCGGCTAGCTGGTGATCTTCTACTTCGTTTATCGTGTGGTCATTTCTCCACGCACACTCGTCGACAGTGGACCACACAACATTGAAAGAAAAAGTGTTTACAAGAAAACACAAGTACAAGCAATGACAGACCCTGGCATCTACTACTGTAGTATCATATATCTGCAGCGTCGAAGCACACCAATCCACCGTCGAGTCGATCTAGGGTCGGAAAAAAAAATCGAAACACAGCACCGGCACAGGGAAGCCATTTAACAGCAGTCGGGACTCAGCCTCGCGCATCACGGTGGTGCCGTAGCGTACAGCTCTCAGCGTAAGCGGTAAGCAAATCCATCTCCATCTTGGGAGTGTGTGGTGGTGTGGGGCTCAAGGAGACACACGATTCCCTGCCCTGAACAAAATTCCTGACTGGACAACCCCAAGCTGTGATCAAGCAGTAAGCACGGTTGCAACAGTGTCGCGCCGCGGCTACCGAACATCCTTTCGGTGCCGTGCAACTCTTCCGAGATTTTATTTTATCTGTTCTAGTTCGAGATGACCGTTTCTGGTTTCAGGTGGGGGAGATTTGTCCAGTGGTCGTTGTTAGCCGCATAGCCAGCAAGAGATGCCTACACCCAACTACATGTACTGTACACGTAAACACGCCCATGTTTTCGAACTTTTTCGGATGATTTTTCGTCCCGTGGGTATAGCACCCCTCTAGAGAACACAAAAACAAAAAACGATAATGGGGTCCCCCAAGAACGGACAAAAAAGGTGCTCTGCTCTGCTCTGGCGAGGTGAGGTGAGGTGAGTATAATTTATCAGCCACGGCCAGGGGGAGATTGCTCCATGCATATGTACGGGGGAACAAACACACACAAATTTTGAAGCGAATCGTCAAAAAGGTAGGGGCAGCCCTCAAGAACATGGCCGTGGAGCAGCAGTCTGTGCCGCTGCGGCAGAGACAGAAGCATCGCCAAAAACGGAACGAGACTCCTTCACACAGCAGCGAATCTTAATCTTCCACGAACACCCTCATTTTTTGCATGCACGTACTTGCGTTGTTGAACTTCTGTCATTCCGTCTGCCTCTCACTTGTACCCAAACAAACAAGGCACATTCCCGGCCACACTGACTGCCACAACACAAATAGATAAAAAATATCTTCCAACTTACGATATTCTGTAAAAGTTGGGTACGAGACTCACATACCATTTAACCTCGACGGTAGAAAAATGACAGCAGCATCTCACCGACGGCATGCACTGCTGTTGTGCGCGAAGCCTAGGTTCTACTATACACGGGTTTCTACCACAGGCGCCCAAAGACACAAACAAGTGTGGAGATATCCACATCATTGTTAACCCTTTTTTACCGAGCCTACTCAAGAACTGCTACGCCGTCCATGAATCATGCAACACTCGTCTTTCGCCTGTTGCCCGCACTCCCGCTCGCCGCCTTGGGGGAAATCGCCTTAATCTTCTTCACTTTCCTGCCCGCTCCCTCCCGCGCGCTGTCCCCCCCTACGTTTGGCTCCTCGTTCTCTGATGCTGCCCTCTTCTTCCTCCTCTTCGCACCACCACTAGCCGTCGCCGCTTCGGCAGTCGACGCTGCCTTCTCTGCCTTGGCCTCCTCCTTGAGTTTGTTGAGCTGCTGCCGAATGAGCGGCCGGGGCTTGCGCTTCTTGGCCTGCGAGTGAGAGTTCGGTTCCTTGCCCTCGCCCTCTCCCGCTGCCTCTTCCTTTCCCGCCACCGTCGCCTTCTTGGCGCTTGGTGCCGGAGGGAGGTCACCGATGTTGCTGTACACCGGCAGGGCCACCGAGTGGGAGCACTTGATGTTGATGGCCTTGACGTTTTTCCACTTCCGAGGGATCTTTTCCACCACCGCAGCAACCCCGGTCATGAGGTTCTCTACCACCTGGTCCTCCGTCATGGACGTGTTCGCCAGCTTCACGGCCCAGCAGTCCCCGTGCGACCCCACCAAGAAGGCGCTGTCTCTTGCGCGGGCGATCTGCTTGGCGAAAGACGCTCGGCGTTCGAGCTTTATCGGCACGGGCTGCTTCTTGACCTTGAGGAAGGTCTTGCCGAGGGCCTTGGTGAGCATGGGCAGGATGCGGTCGTCGGCGAGGAAGAGATCGAACTGCGACAGAAGCTCTCGGCGATCTTTGAAATCTTTGTACTGAGTACGGAGTTTGTCCAGCTTGATTATCTGCGGCGGGAGCGGACGCGGGGCGGGGCGGGGGGAGCATTCAGGATACAGGATCAGAAGTTGTTGAACAGCTAGAGCAGTGCCTGCCATTGCCTGGGCGATAGCCAAGACAGCAGTGGCAACATGTCTTGAAGGGAGCTGCAAGTGCTGTGTTGTGTATCGTGTGAGTGTGATCGCATGAGCAGCAAATGCCGAAGAAGTTATCGGCACAAAAGCACAACAAGTGTCACTATTATAGTCAAGAAAACAGAGCGGCTCACGACGATGCGGCGCAATCGTTACCGACCTTGATTCATTTCGGGAACACATGCGATACATATGCACGCAGAAAGAGGACCATCGGGGCCAACCTCTGCACACGGTAGCCATGGACAGACCAAACAAAGCAGGCGAGCTATTGCAAGGCGCTGGTTTCGAAGCCAGGGGTGTCCTCTCAGTTTCTGCGGACTACAATACTCTGCTGTAATCCCACCGCATCGACGATGGACACTGGTTCATGCTGTCAGCCGCAATCGAAGATGGTTACACGTGTGATGGAGTTGGCTCGACAATATCGTTTCTGCCTGAGGGTGGCCAGCTGTGGCTACACAGCTTCCCCGCTTCCTGGGTGATGTCGTGTCTAATCCTTACCTCATGGTTTCAAAACACAGACACACGAGAAACGCTCCCGCAGGTGAGCTGCGCCACCCAGACATCATATCATACCTTCGTGAGGCCTTCCACTGGTTCCTTCTCCGCCATCTCCTTGATCCAGACCTTCGCATTGTCCTTCACGATGAGGCACATGTCGCAGTCCTCTCGTTTTCGCAGAGGGTGCGGTATGGCGATCGGGACCGGCTTGGCCTTGACGTCGCCAGGGATCTTGTGAAGGGATATCTGAGCTAGCACCACCTCCCCTTCGTCTTCGATCAAACTCTGCTTCCCCGCCGCGGAGCTGTTGACGTGCTTCAGCAGAGCCCTCGCGGCGCGTCGTACTTGAGCTTCGTCGAAGCTAACCATCTTGTCTAGCTGTGTGTGTGTCTCTCTCTCTCTCTCTCTGTCGGCCTCTGGCGCTCTGTCTGCTGTCTGCCACCGCTTATTTCTGAGGGGGCGCACAGACAGGAAATATTGACGACGCCAGGTTGATACGTCGTTACAGCGACTCCGTGGATGCGGTGATGTGGACGACGAGACCAGCAGGAGAGAGACCACAACGAGGAACGAGGACAGGAAGCGAGCACGATCAAGACACACAGTAAGGCGACGAACTTTCCTGTTCCACAAGGTCGACCTGATGCTGCAGGGGTCACGTTCGCACACCATGGTCTTCTGGAGGCTGTTGTTGGGCACGCTGCTGATCTACGCTGTACCGCTGCACGCCCGCAGCAGAGCTTCTCTGTTCGAATTTGTGGATCAAGTCACGGAACTGTCGCCTTCGACCTTTTCCGACGTTGCGGCTTCGTCGGTGCCATGGGTGCTGGATTGCTACTCTCCTGGGTGTCCTCACTGCGTTAGGTTCGCGCCGACGGTGAGTCACTTGGATCTGCTCCTCTCTCTCGCTCTCGGCCCCCAAGCCCCCAACATGCGAAGGAACATGGTGTATGTAAACTGCTGTACATGAGTTGCTCCGCTTCTAAATGTACTAGAATTAGCGTTCTCGAGGTCCCTTCCACTTTCCCCACGCGGACCTCGGCGCATCCACATACAGCAGTATCCACATCGAACTAACGAACGTATCAAAGAAGACGTCTCTGCACTCGTTGACTGCGAGTCACCTGTACGCAACTTGAGGGCTCGTGGGTAAACTGGTGTAATATACTACATAGTTTTGCTCCATCTTGACACATTGTACGACATGTGCGCAAGTGCTGGCGCCGAAGGGACCTGTGGCTCTCTCCCGCCATCGTCGGAGCTGATTCATTCTGGGTTGGGTTGTTAAAGGTTGGGTGGTTCTGTTTCGTTGGGCCTTTGAGCAGTTCAACAACAGCTAGCTAGCTCGCTTTCAGTAGGAGCCAATTGAAGTAATCTGAGCACGGCTTAATCACCTAATCACATCCATTCCCCCCTTGGCTGCGCTGTGCTTGCTGCGTGCTACGCATGGTATCCTTATCCTTGCTCCTTCTCCCCACCGTTGGTACGACGTGCTACTCTACTCTGTATGCATATGCATACAAATACTTGGTCATTCTGCCATCTGCCATGTGCCACGTGCCATGTTGAACAATACCACACACTGGACACTGGAAAACCCTGGCGCGGCTTTTCAGTGGGAAAGGGTCGGGACGGCGCTGCGAGATACCCAAGTCCATGTGGGCGCCGTCAACTGTCTGAAACACCGCGAGCTCTGCTCGTCATTGCACGTGCCGAGCTACCCCACCCTCATGGCCATCAACTCTCCGGGCGAGCCGGGGGGAACAGCTGATGATCCCGCCAAGAAAGTGCTGAAGAAGGGGACCCACTCGTTCGAAGCCGTGATGGACTTAATCAAAGGAGAGTTTGCGGGCGTGCTGGAAAATGTTACGGTGCCCGATGCTGCTGCGGTTGAGGTCGTTAATGTTAAGGTTAAAGGTCGAGAGAAAGACCGGCGAGTGCGTGGGCAGAGGAGGGCTAGCGAGGAGAGAGGGGCGGGGGCGCCATGTATCCTCCGTATTGAGGATGCTGCCGTCAGCGTCCGGTTCGTCCTGAGGAATGAGGTCTTCACGCAAGGGACGTCACTGGACGAGGAGCGAATGGGTGAGTGAGTTTGTCGGACGACTCTTCAGCAGCGCCGCCGCTATGATATCTACAGTATGCCACTACTAGTAGGGAGGTGTGATGAGCCGCGGGGTACGACTAAACCTGGCAGTCGTCTATCTGCGATGCTGTGCAAGGTGCGCGACACGCTGCTTCAAAGGCAGCAACGCAGCAACTGAACGCACAATTCCTTGCGGAATATAAATCCAAATGCAACCGCTCCCGCGGGAAGTTTGTTGAAAGTATAAATATTGCACATCAACGGCGGAGAAAGACACACACATGCTCGCCTCTGTTACAGCAGTACCACCAAACGACCTGCACCTAAAAGTACTGACACAAGACACAAATGAACAGTGGTAGCTTACGCGAATGCACTTGTAGTGCTGCTAGAACTCCTGTAATGGCAATGACTCCCATCGATCGTATTCGGCAGTGCATGCATGCGAACACAAACACGCGGGTGCCTCGCACAAAAAAAAGGGCTCTTCTGTTGCATTTTTTTCCGGTGGCACAGGTTTGATTCCAGGCGACCCCTCCCCACACACCGAAGCAATAGCAATAACAACAGTATCCACCACGAGCTGTGTCCATGCTCCGTCTTGTGTGGTGATTAACACCGACGAGGAGGCTGCAGGACGCTCAGAAATTGCGGGCGCGAAAGTCTGGCACCGCCTGAGAAAAAAAACACGCCGCGTGTGTTGGGATCAGTTTGGACTTTTTTTACGGGCGCAGGTTTGGTTTACCGACGATCCCTCCCCGCACACCGAAGCAAAAGCAATGGCAATGGCATCCTTCGCGAGCTGTGTGTATGGCTCCCTTCCCTCGCCAGTGCTGTCTTGCCCCTCCCAGCGGTGTTGCGTGCTTAGCTGAGTGTTTCCTCGCTTCTCCTGGTTTGAACCGAGCAACTGCTGCGCGTGTGTGGGTGGGAGATCCCCGATTTTGTTCCTCCTTTATACCTCTACAAGTCATGGGGAAAGGGGTAAAAGCATTTCCTATGATTTTGGGGACAAATGCCTGTCAAGCACGGCCATCTGTTGTCCGAGCGCGACCGAACCGGTGTGACGAAGAGTGCCCTTATTAGCTTAGCTTCCTCCTCACAAGCCAGTATATTGTAGACCGGTGCTCTATCACCTTGTTCTGGTTGAACAAAGGCGATGATTTTCGGGCGGTCAATAATTAGACGGAAGTTGCAGAAGGGCCCCTCCATCGCGTTGGTTGGAAGAGCCCGATGTTTAGAGCCTTGTCTTCCCTGCCGGGGACGAAGGGAAAAAATGTCGCGCTCCGCGCTCCGCGGCTCATTGCAATGCAAGAAGCTGGCTTTATGTTATACCGAGACCGTGTCAAACGTGTCGAAAGACCTTGTGGTGTTTCTCAAACGCTTCAAGCAAAACGGCAACACGGCAGCAGCTCGGGAGGAGTCTGCTCATGTCGGCGTCTGTTGCTCTCTTGCAGACGGCGAAACCAAAACTACGACTCTAACTCTGCTTTCAGCCCCATGCCATGCACTACACACAAATCCGTAACCACTTGCTTATTGCTCATTACCGTGTGAATACCGCTGTACGGGCGTTGTGTTTTGCTCTCTCCCTTTTTTTAATGTTTCCGGTAAAAATGACCATGTTGCTTTACGTCATGGTCATCCATTCTCTATGTACCCAACCACGCTGTCTACCCTTGGGTGCTCTTGTCATCTATACAATAGCTGTTTGTTGTTCACCGCCTTTTTTCCGTGTAACTCGTTTTGTTTTCTTTGCAGGCGCCCTTCTGTCGTTCTTGGAGCTTCTGGCCACCACCTTCCCCGGGAAGATGAACCGGGTCAGCTTCCGCAGCCTGGCCACCGACCTTCGGCGAGATCCTAGTCTCAATGACATCGCCAGGTGAGTTGAATAAGAAAAGACGCGTCACGGACGCGCAACTCGTAGTGTATTCCAGCCGACATGTGGCCGCAGCCGCTAGTATACCAAGCATCCACAAGTGCACGTGTGTATGTGTTTTTTTGTTGCTTGTCCCCCCCCTGGGGGAAGATTGAAGACTTGCTCCCGAGAGAGACACTCCGGAGTAATGGAGTATATTACGTTGAGAAAATGAATTGGAAGATGCCTCACGTGTGGTTTGAGGCAAGGCTAGCTGTAAACCATTCCACAGCAATTCGTGACGTGTGTTTTTTGTTGGGGGTGGGATAACCAGGACCCCCGAGTACGGGTCAGGTCGTCACTGTGCTGCTACGATACTATAATACCGTCCTTTAAACGATCTGCCTAGTTTAGTGGTTGGTCACTCTGGGACGGCGGGGCGCACCTTGTTCCATTCTGTTGAGTGGATCGATCGATTGCATGAATGTATGAATGTATGAATGCCGAACAGGAGTCGTGCTTGTTTTGTTACTTCGCCGCCCCGCGTCCAACTCACCTCCGACACAATAATCAACAATCCTCTGCTTTTCAGGTGGGATAAGCGAATAGGAAACTTCCACATCGGCTCTTTTGCCCCGGGCAAGCGTGACAACTGGCCGGCGGCAAACATCGAAAGGGGCACAGAACCGGAAGTTTCCCACTACACTTCCGGCCTTTGGTCTCTCTTTCACCTGTTGAGCGTATCGGAGGCACCTATGAAACAAAATCCCTACGCGGTCATGGAGGGCATTGCGTCCTTCGTTGACAACTTTTTCAGGTGAGCTTCGTCCGTGATTTGCTCGTTGGAGACGCTGCTGCTCGTTCGTGCAGACAATATTGTCAGACGGGGGGGCAATCATACCTGATACCTGATAGGCGGGAATGAAAAGTGTTCTTGAAGGACGGCTGTCATGTTGTGATGTTATCGTGAATAGCATTGATCTGGATTGTTGGCCTTGTGCTCCTGCCACACCTCGGGGCGATTGGGTGCGATGGTGTCGGCAACAAGTAGTAGTAGTGTGGAACGCCCATCTAGTCGTGGCACCACGAACTCCACTATAGACACGTCTAACATACTTTGGTTTCGTGTTTCGAACGTCATGAGAATTGTGCTCATGTCCCGTACTTTGTCTCGGCGGCTCTGCTCTGCTCTGCTCGGCTCTGCGCTGCTTCTGTCGGTGCCGCCAAGGTGTGAGGTTTGCCGATCCCACTTCATGGAGATGTACAGCACGTGCGACAACGGGCGATGCGACATCCCCAAGCCAGCCAACGTTCGAGGGCAGCACACCTCGCAAGGAGAACCGGCGCTGGCCCTGTGGGTATGGCGGGCGCACAACACTGTTAACGGTCGTCTGGCGCTCGAAGGGGACGAAGAAGTTGGACCATACGAGTAAGCAGCCTGTGTTTATATTTTATTATTGGCCTCGACCGCGCTAACGGGCTGACCAATGAAAAGACGTCAGTCTCAGTGCGGTAAAAAACACAAAACACTTCTAAATGTCATCAACTGGGACCCCGTGAGGGGGCGGCATGGGGGAGACTAACGTGTTCTCCGGATCAAAGACAGAAACGGTAGCAACGGAAGAAAACTGCACACGTCTGCGAAGGCTCCTACCTTGCACTCGTCTATGTATGAGTGTGTGTTTTCTAGCCTAGCGTACAGCGGGGGCTGGTTGTTGTACTGCTTTTCTGTATACTGTGTGCGTCTCACGACCTGGCGGACGGTCTATCTCTGTCTCTGTACCTTAATCCTGCTCAGCCTAGATTGGACGCAACGTGTGCTAGCCTTGAAATCGACTTGAGGTGGACAGCAGGTGAGTACCGCTGGCTGTTCGCTACCCAGATGGCATGCACTACTATGTACGTCGCACCACACCGCACTGAAAGACGCCTGAAAGCGTTCTAAACAAGACCATCCTTCTTTTCTTTGTACCTGCTACCTTCTTGCCCAGGGGCTTGTGGCCAAGCGCTAAGGCTTGCAAGCAGTGTTGGAGCGGCTTCCCCCAAGGGAAAGACAAGCCCTCTTGGAGCGAGACGGAGGTGCTAAAGCTGCTCAAGAGGACTTTCTCGTGCCCCGAGATAGCCGGGGAGGGACCGGATGCCTCCGGCCGCGGTTGGGCGGTGAACGGCGTCATGCTGTGCGCGGTGGTGGCTGTGGTCATGTGGGCGCGAAGATGGACGGAGTTGAGGGGGGTCGGGTTAAGTAAGAAACGAGGGGACTCTGCACCCGACGTGTGATGAATGTCACGATCTGCTTGCGGGCGTTCGTGGTTAACCTTAGTGGTACTGCTGTAGGGGGTGGGGATCTTGCCAGAGAGCATCGAGCCGCCGCTGAAGCAACAATACTATAGCCAGACTTGAACAACGGATTTCTATCCTATCGCTGAGTTTTGCGTAGCACGGGCCAAGGACCTCTGGCCGACACATCGTGCGTAGTATGCATCATGCTGTTATCTACGCCCTGCAGTACACACGCTTCACTGATTGAGGCGTCATGGAATGCCGTTGTACGCTCATTTCACAATGTGTCGCGGTATGATGGATGGTGTATGAGGCTCTTTGTTCCTTCACCTCGAACCAAGCTAAGGGGCCGAGAGTGGGCATTTTAATATTTTGAAGTTGAGACGGGTGCTAACAATTGTAGAGTGGGTGGACTTGGAACGGGTTTGTAGTATTTATGTTGCTTCTTGTGTTTGCGTAGTTTAGTGTATTGTGTTTCGTGGCCATTTGTGGTTGTGACATTGATTGTACGCAGCGGAGTGATGGTGGTATTGATGGTTGTACGTGTAAGGGTGTCGAGGAAGTTGCGACGCAGAGAAGGCAGCCTGCTTCATGAAGCACTGTTAATACTAGGCTATATGTGGTGTAGCACTTGTGTCGGAGGGAGGCCTCTATCGTTATGTAGGAACCTGAGGAGGGTATCTAGGAGGGAAGTCTCCAAGATTCTCCGATTTCAGTCAAGCGATGTTGTTGCTGTTGATGCGCCGTTTTTGTCAGGGCCGCTCTCGCTGCGTACGATCTAGACTAGAAATTCCATGTTTGTTCGTGCGTGTTTTATGTGACGTGTCCCTTTGTTCACCCTGGGATGATTGAATGATCGGAAATAAGTCTGGTCGTTCTTGCCTCTGATTTTCTTGTGAGTTTTGAATTGAACGTGTAGTCGTGTAACCTTGGCGTCAACCTGCAGTCAGTCACGCAGCTTATCATCTGTATGGCAACTGGTTGAAAACAACGGTGGACGTCGGTTATGTCGAGCATGTCTTCTGCTCGCCCAGCGCATGCCTTGAGTCGCCATGTCTATGATTCAACGAGGCAGCTGCCTGTGTGCCGAAAAAATAACTATTTTCTTGGTTCGGTTTGCTTGAATGTGGACTAGAATAGCACGCCACGCCGTCGACCAACGCCACAAACTTGACCGCCGGTTGCTCCGGTGTTGCCGCGTCGTCTTGTTACTTTTCAATGTTACCAACGGTTAAGACGTGGACATCGAGGCAGCAGATGTGATGTATCCAACAGCTAGCTGTCTTGTGTGTGGCAGAGCCCGTCACCCGCCACGTGTTTCTTGTAGATGTACGCGGTATAGGAACCTCCACGCCCGTCTACCGCATTAATTCGTCGGGAAACGTCGGGAAACGTATTCCCCTGAGTGACGTGACCCCGAATTGTAGGTCTTGAGATGAGATGGAAACTGCGGACCGTCGTCAACGCATGGATACCACACTTCCAGTATGGCCTGGCAAGAAGAAAACGCCTGTGCATGTTGGACTACTTGTAATATAGACTAGTACGTGCGGAGTTCCCAATGGCTGTCTTGTCCTTGTCCTTCCACCGTTCCTTGTGTCGGTGTGTCGTCACGTATCTTACAGGCACATTTTTCGACCAGGGCAAACCGCAGCGTGTCACAGTATCTACCACCAGCGATTTCCTGGGGTCAGCGCGAACATGCAACACGCGCGGACAAAAGGAAAAACACTCAACACTACTGAAACAGGACATCCGGGCAGGTGGGTATAGGTAAGCAACGGGCCTTCCATTCCTCCCCCCCACCAATTGCCAACAAATCACGGACGCTTCATTCTCATATATGCCGCGCCTACTTGCTGCCATCGCCGCCGAGTTGTATCGAATCAAAACTCACTAGTATCTAGCAGAAGTGCCTCCACGCTAACCTCCACAAAATCTTAATAATACTGGCTACTGGGTCCTACGCCCGGGACAAATACACCCACCACACCATTCCATTCCTCCCTGGCAACCTCTATGCCTTAGGCTTTTTCGACTTTTTGAAGCCCCCTCCTCTGCCTCCTCCCGCCTCCTCGTCCTTCTTCTTCATTTTTTGTACAGGCTTGAACACCGGCGCGTTCTTGAGCACGTCCGGCAATACAACGAGCTTGATGTGGCTGCCACGAAGGTAGACCTGTTCCAGCTTGCTCACACGCCCGTCCCTCCCCGTCATCGTCACTGCCATGTCATATCACGTCACGTCATATCACGCAATGTCGTGATTGTCAACATCAAATTTGTGTTGGACAATGTTCAACGGATGTGAGGTTACATCGGACGGGATGTTGCAACACACACATGGAGTATCTCTCGGTTGTTTCGAATGAAGTGCACACATGAGGACGAGACGTCTGCATTCCCTATCATAATAGCCTTAATATGCGCAGCCTCTTTGATGACGGGATTGGATTATTTCTCGAGGTAGGTCAACGTTTAAACGAGCGCAAACATTGCCCCTGGGTCACACAAGCAGCACCGCGATCTGACGTGAAGCTACGTACTAAAGGCGCGTTTTCATTAGTTGACAGAGATCTCAGATGATGCGGACATGCTGTTGTACCATAACGCAAAGAGCGTGTCGATATTGCCCCTATTTACCCCTAGTCTCACCTCCTGTCATGAAGCAGTTCATGGTGTCCTCTGCCTCATTCAAGTGCCCCCGGTAGATCTCTCCGTTCTTCATCTCAACCGTCACCCCATGCCCCTCGCCCTCGTGGAGGAGCTTGATAGGAACACCCACAGCTGATTTGTATAGATTTTTGAAGACAAAACGAAAAAATCGCACAGGAATAAGCAGAAATGTTGATTTGTTATCCGTTCAGGTCATCGGGACAAGCGTCGGGGAAATGACAACAAGGTAGACATCGCTTGGTGGTTTAGATGAGAGGATATCATTCCTTCTGTAAATTATAGACAAAAGCTCACACGCACACTATTGGCACCAACCCTGGCATCCTTTTGGCGATGGACATGCTCGTGGTAGACAACGGTCCTCCGACTTGCAATAGGGCGGAGCGTTGTGAGAATAAACATTAACAATGGGGTTGTACTCGTCTCAACTGCCATGTCGGCATGTCTGTAGCACATCCCTTACCAAGTACAAAAAAAACGCAGCTATGACAGGTGCTCGTGCACGTTCCAAGTTGTGGGTTGTGGTGGCGTGGCAACCAACGTGTTACGCAGGTATTCATGAGACATGTAACTCGGAGACACACCTTTCTACACAAGCGTGTCTCGGCCTATGCATAGTCTATGCGCACTTTGCGTTACTGACAGCTCGGCAAAGCTGCAGCAGTGGACGTCGGGGCGGCTAATGGGGGGGGCATTCTTTTCTTGCTGCCTACATGCCGTAGTTTGTTCTGTGACCATGCACCATTAACCATCCGATTTGCACCAGTCCTTTCCAGACGGGGCACCTAACCCACCTACTACAACTACACTGCTACACTTCTACAGCTGCACACCGGCGCTCTCGACTCCTTCGCATTCTCGCTGCTTGTACAAAGCACTCCGTCGTCGTATCTACACTATTACTATTGGAAACCGTTTGTGAACCATTTACCTCTCTCTAGTGTCGGCCGGGGTTGAGATTCTTCGTTCCTCATGTGGGCTACAAATTGCAATATTACCGTTATATAGGTTTTGGTGTAAGGTTTCCTGACTGGGCTCACAAACGGTGCTCAAGTTCTGGTATGTTCAATGTAATGTTGTCAACAGCAGTCTCTCATCGTGTTGTCAACAGCAGTCTTTCATCGTGTGGGAGGAGAGGGGGAGCGCGGGGGTCAAGACATGATTTGTGCCCCCTGGTGCTGCTGCTGTGCTGTGTACTGATGTGTTAATGTGTGTAGTGCTTGATACATGTGTGACACAAGTACGTGTTGTTCCCGACGCTTGGAATAACAAAGAGGAGGTTGGGCAGCGGAGTATAGCGGTCGAGTCTCGGTGATTGATCTACAACCTCTTGTTCTCCTCCCGCTTGAAATCCATCTCATTACTTTACCGCAGCGCCAAAACTCGACTAAAATTTACAGCACATTGAGAGAGAGGAGAGGTAACAAAGACCACACCAAACACTGGCCGCATCCAGACGAAAAAACAGAGATCAACCACCAGATTTTTGCCGTGGGTTGTCGATCAATTCCCACCTACTACTGCTGTGCAGACAACGGCTGAGTGTTGCGTCCATACGCGATCATTGCTTGGTTGACATCCCGGCTGCCGGCTACGTGAGTTGGTAAGCTGTTATCCTCTTTGGGGCAAGAGCAAGGATCCGATCGCAAATCAGCAGACGTCCACCAGATTTTGCAATGCTCGGAGCACTTACCGGCCATGTTCCCCGCTGTGTTGATACTCAGGACAAGCCCTCCTCTCCTGGCTCCACTGCTCTATGTAGCTCCAGCACAAGGCCTGTCCTCCTCAGCTGTCAGATGCTGAGCAGGTCTATCGACAAATTCAATATATCGAGCTTTATCTCTTTGATCTCCCCAATGCTCAGCCCTCGCGCAAGTAGCTTGACAAGCACAACAATGCAAGCACCTCAACCTGTCTTCACTGATGCTGTCGGTGCGTGAGAAGCAAGGGACGTAATTGGCGCTGTCTCGAGAGGTGCACGGCGGGGGCACAACAAGCGAGAGAAGCAAAATACACCCCCCTCCTCTTTTTTGCCCATATGGGGAGGTGAGTCACGAGGACACAGCAGTGGAGTTGGTCGGGCACCTCACTGCTGCTTGCTGCCACAGGAACTAGCAGCCTGCTGCTGCTGCTGGTTGGCTATCAGCTTTATCAGCAGCAAAAAGCAGTGCCAAAGTGCTAGGTGTGAGTACACGAGGCTACTTTGAGACAGCAGTCCGCGAGCAAGGCTCACGTCTCACACACGAAAAAACATGCGACTGCCGCAGCAGCTGTGCGTGTGTTGCGCCGTCATCGGTAGCAGCGGATGGATGAGCCACGCGTTCCTGCTGTCTTCAGGGTCAGGGCGGCTTTCGCGACACATGGCCATGCTTGGACCTACCATGTCGGACGTCCGCATCCACAAAGACGTTGTCGTGATCGGTGGCGGCCTCGCCGGACTCTCGACGGCCTTGGAGCTGGCGAAGCGAGGGAAGCAGGTAACGGTGCTGTCGCGCAATCGTGCGGAAGCGGCAGCGGAGGCTGCCGGGGGTATGATTGCTCCTCAAGCGGAGCGGTTGGAGAGCGGGCCTTACCTCGACCTTTGCCTGACGAGCCGGGCGATGTACGCGGAGTGGGTCCGGAGCATCGAGGCGATTGCCGGGATGGGGGGAGAGAAGGCTGGAGAGAAGACTGCTGCCGAGACAAGGACACACTTCTGGAGCACGGGAGGGTTCATGAGTCCGGCCTTCGAAGGCGATGCTGTGCACGTGTGGAGCCCTCCGCCTGAGGGGGGGCAGGCCCATTGGATCGGCAGAGACCAGGTGCGCCTTGTAGGCGGTGATAATTGGTTGCTGAAACTCTTCTTGCTCAGTCGCAGCGGTTGTAGATGGAGTGCTTGTGCCTGTCGTGGGGTTAGTTCAACTTGTGGTTGGGGGTAATGTACACACAACAACAAACCAGCACGGTTCTCCCACACCGTGTGTCCGTACACACCGTGTGTCTTTACAAAACAACGCAGTAGAGCAACTGCTGCCTCCAGTTCCATAGTGCCATGGTTTGCAGGACAGCAGCCTTGTTATACTGCAGAAGTATCTCGTCTTTCTCTGGCTCTACTCTCACAGCAGTAGGTAGGCGCACAAAACAGAAGTCGCTTGAACATACTGCTTATATAGGTCCCGGTGTAATGCTGTGGATCCAGCTCGATATCACACCGGCATTATAGCGGGCGACCGGCATTATTCAGAGCAAGAAACAACTTTGATATTCCATCTGCGCCAGACGATTTCACGGGCATTATACGGGAAACCGACATTATTCGAACGGCGTTATACCGGGACCACTACTGCTGTATTGTAGTGGAGGAGGGAGGAGGGAGAGCCAAGACCACTAAACTGCTCTCTGTAAGAAATATGGGCACCATTATACAAGTACCCTGGCATGATGTTCCAGCACTGCTGTCGTGTAAGGTATGTATATTCAAACTCGTATCCGGCGAGGATTTCACCCACATATTTAAGAAAATTCGTATGCATACAACATGTTCCCGACGATCGGGTAGGTTGAAGAACATCGTCAAGACCGACCTATACTAGATGTGGGAGGTTTTGGGGTCACTCCAACATGTCCTGTACGCGGATACAGACACAACAGCCGTAGCGAGCTTCGACTGCTGTGCTGCTGGAAATGTTGGCGGCCGGAAGACCACCCCCAACGATTTTGCAGGAGTTCACCCTCCCGCCTTCCACGTTGTCCTTCAGGCTTTGGAAATGGAGCCCTCTTTGTCTCCTGACATCGTTGGGGCGTGGTGGTTTCCCCAAGACATGAGTATCGACGCGCAGCGGATGTTCAGGGTGTTGGAGCAGGCGTGCAGCAAGGGCGGTGTGGAGATACTCGAAGGGTAAGAAGTACATAGCCAGGCAAGCAGTAGCTTCACCGCACACACAAGCCTGAGACTTACGGTGTGGGTTGCCGGAGGAACAATGCCAAGGTTAAGGTTTACATTGCGAGGTTGTTGACCGGGGGTTCAGCAGGAGTGGCGAGCGGCACATGAAGATACTTTGATATTCATGGATTCTTAGCGCAGAGCTTGATGGACTGGGTCTCACGTGATGCAGCAATATAACATGGATACACATTCACATATTCGCGCGGCCCTATCCGCTATCGTTGGTCGATATCCCTTCCTATTCCTCCCTCCGTTTTTCCCGAAACGTTCCGAAACCGAACACAGGACGGCGGCAGCTAGCCTCGTATACGACAGCGAAGGGACGTCCGTGGACGCCGTAGTGTTGGATGACGGTCGGCAAGTTCACGCCAATGCCGTTGTATCAGCGACAGGCGCCTGGATGCGCGAGCTAATGCCGGTCCCCATGGTGCCGCACAAGGGGCAGATGATGGCTCTCAGGGAGCCGGCGGGTGGGCTGGGTGCGGGGGCGCCTAGGCAGGGTGGGGGTATCGGTCTGACACGCGTGTTCTTCGCGGAGGGGTGCTACATTATCCCCAAGAGGGATGGTCGTATCGTCGTCGGCTCCACAGTAGAGGTGACTTGTTCGGGATTTGCCTGGCTGGTATTCCGTAGCCGATGTTAGTGGAAGGGCGGCATGCGGGGAGTCGACAAGTGGCGGCCAATTCTTCGGAACGAGATGTCGACGCCGGGCATGGTGATTCGTGTAATTTGTGTTGGGTGTGCGTTGTTATTGTGGATGCATACACAGGTTGTGCTTTCCCCGAAGTTGTTCTTGCACTGCGGCTGTTGTGGTACTGTGATATTCTACTTGTACAAGCGATGGCCAGAGTGGTCGTGTTGCGGAGTGCGGTACAGTAGAGGGGTAGACTCCGTGCCTTGACGGTAGCAGGAGGCGGGGACTTCATCGTTCATGGAAACCATCCGTCACATTTCCGCGTGCAGCCGTGCACATGGTGTTTTGATGGTATGGTACTCGAGCACCCTTGGTTAGGATCGTTTTGGTGGGCTACTAATTACGGCAAGAACGACCGGCACCCTGCTGCCAACACATGGTGTTCGGGACGATTAGCATCAGCAGCCGTGCCCTGCCCTGCCTGCTACAGCAGTAGACCCGAAACAACTTTGTTCTGCTACTAAAAAAATGATGATGCTCTACCGTTCATGGCCTTGTTTCGATCGACCAACGTTGTAGGTGGGGGAGTACGGTCTCCACAACACCCCGGCCGGCATTAAACAGATCATCGACGCCGCCGTCAAGGTCTGCCCCGCGCTCGCAGATCTGGCGATAGAGCGCACGTGGGCGGGACTGCGGCCGGTCACCCCCGACTGCCTCCCGGTGCTCGGGGCCTCCCCCCGCTGCCCCAACCTCTTCGTCGCTGGCGGGTACTGGCGCAACGGCGTTCTGCTCGCCCCTAAGACGGGGCAACTGGTGGCGGACGCGGTGTGCGGCCTCCTGTCTCCGCAAGACGAAGATTTCTTGCGGGAGTTCTCCATGGATCGGTTCACCAAACCAGGGACAAGGGCAGCAGCAGCGGCGCGGGACTATGAGCCTCGTGCTCAACCCGCCGCTGCTGTGGAACCACAACGGCCTGCGCCGACGGGAACGTTTTCATCGTCGGGTTCAAGGGCAGAAGGTTTCATTTCGGAGGCCTCGCCGTCTGAGGTGTTGGAGATGGAGCGCGCGGCGTTGGAGGGTGCCAACGACGCGAGCATGCTGTCGGCCCTTGAGGGCATGTTCGGCGAGGGGATGGTCCATGTGGAGAAGGTTAGTCGACGAACATTGACGATTTCGCTCGAAGACGGCTATGCCTGTCGTGCGGGGTGTCCCTGTGGTGTTGATATGTAAGGTGTAGGCTGTACACCAATTTCTGTGGACTGCAAGATGGTACCTTTTTTGTTTGCCGAGTGTAGTATTTTGCTTTGAATCCATTTTGTTTGATGTTTTTCGGGTTTGATTGTCATCCCTCAGGTGGAGGAAGAAAACGTATCAAGAGACGTGCCAAGTACCCATGCCTCGAGCACCGATTCGGCTCCTGCTTCTTCTGCTTCTTCCAAAGTACAGGAACCGGTGAACGACTATCACGCGAGGTGCGGCTATTGAAGCAGTACTAAACCCGCCCGATGGTTGGACACGAATTTCCTAGGCAAGCTTGTCGTCACAAATTTAGCATCGCTCGCTACTCCCGAAGCATCCCACATACGTACGCGCCGCTACAGAGGTCACTTCGCGAACTTGGTTCGGTTGCCATTAATGTTGTGCTGGGCCACGTCGCAGATATTCAACTTCAAGGTATAGTCTCCTTCTCCGCTCCTGCTTTCAGCCTTAGCCCACCCTCAGTTGGACTCAAGTGATCCAACAACGCTACAATAATCTATCGGTAGCTGTTGTGCAATATGTGTCCGTCCCGGATGTGTTGACTCCACTTGTCCTGCCTTGTCCCATCGGCTACCGTTGGCTGGCACCGTCGTCTATCACAGCGAGCAATTCTCGGAGGAAAAGTTGAAGGAGGCAAGGATGGCCAACCGCTTGCTACAGGAAGACAGCTCCGATGCGAGGCTTGAGTCTGTCTTCGGCGGTGGTCCCGAGGAGGCCGGGTTACCGGAGGGAATCGCGAACGTTAACTCGTGGGACGATGGGGCTGCGGAAGTTGCCAGCATGATCGGGGCCGAGGTGTGTTTTCAGCCCATAATTTTCATACACTGCAAAAAAGGTTAAGATGTACGTCTTCTTGCGGCGGGGAGCGGGACCTATCTGCACAGTGAATCAAGTTTTTATTTTCGTGTAATTTGGTTTTAGTTGGCCATTATTTGTTCGCCTTTCACAGCATGTATTCTTACGTCGCTGGGCGGTGTTTCCATTTAGGGCACGATGAGTTCGCCCCCGGCCTGTGCAAAGAGACGCTTTCTTTCATGCGCTTTTCTCTGAACCTGTAGCGTCCCTGCCTATACCCCAACGTCTTCAACGTCTTTTCGCAGCTGGTGGAGATGGAGGTGGACATCCCAGACGGCATGACGATCGAGGAGGCGCTGGCTGAGCAGGGCCCGATGATGAAGGTATTGTTGGAGAGCCCCTCCGGCGAAGAGGTAGAGGTGCCAAGAGGGATGAACGTTGCTGGCATGGTGGAAGCGGGACTTATCGCACCCGTGGGCGAGGCAGACGACGACGGGGAAGACTTCTTCGGCGAAGGGGGTGCGGGGGCACGGGGGTGGAAGGTGCAAGAACCCCCTGCCGGCACCTTTGACCCTTCGGCGGTGAAGGGTGCGGAAGAGCGAAGCACGGAGGTGAGCGAGCTGTACGCCAAGGTTATGGCCAACAAGGCCAAGGCCAAGGCCAAGGGGGTCGGGGGAGGAGAGGCATCGAAAACGATTTCCCCGGCTACCACGCGGAACGGCCACAACGGGAGCAACGTGAAGGTGAAGGATGGAGCAAAGGGGGCGAACTCTTGGCTTGGTGACATCCTCGCTATGGGTCACGGGTCAGGCGGCTCCAAGGAGAAAAGGGAGGTCGAAGACGCGCACAGCAGCAGCGGCGACAAGGTCGAGGGCACAGCTCATGTCGGGGCAGGCGCGGAGGTTACCTCCGAATCAGAGGGGGCAGCAGGAGAAGCGGAGGAGATGGTTGGTTACGATTTCATCCTGAAAGACAGAGGGGACGAGGAGGGAAAAGTCGCAAGAAGCGCGCGGGCTTTGGCCAGGTGCGTGTTGTTCGGTACTTGCTGTCCTTTGACAGCACTTTGGTGGCAATAAATAGCACTGTCCACGAGCCAACCTGCCCACGATTCTGTTAACAATTGCTACTTTTGGGTTTCTTTTTTCGCAGTTGCTCCGAGTGAGGTTTCCTTTTTGCACCTTGCTTGATAACGCTGCTTGGTTTGGTCAGCTAACACGCCCGTCTCTGTGGTGCCTTCTGACAAACGGGCCTGTCTGCAACATGTAACGACCTAACAGGGACGCCCCAGAAGGACAAGAGGCGTGGGAAAACTATGAGAAGATCGCTAACGAAGCCATGGCGAGTGTGGGGGGGATGGAAACTGTCGAGTATTTGCCTCCATGATCACCCCCGAGGCGGCGCCGTGCGTGCCGTACTGTACGGAATCGTCATGGAAGGGTCTGCTGAGGGGCTTTGGTTGAGTTCACCAGTATGGCCCGTAACTATGGACACACAGGTCTGCTTTGCTAAAGGATGGTTTCACGGGCGTGGCGTCATGGCGCCTTATGTGGGACCACGGGTGCAAGTATCGTATTAAACCTTGTAGATTTGCTTCGCGATTTGACTTGCAGAGATTGTGGTGCGACAGCCAAATACTCCTATTAAAATAGAGAGAGTCATGTACATGGGACTGCAGCGACAAATTGGATGAAAAGCGCCTTTTGTGGGACTACAGCAGTACATGGTACATGGTACAGGCCGATTGTCGACTACCAGGAGTAAGCGCTGCTGCTCGTGCCGGGTGGCTGCAATTGCATTTGCCATTGCTATTGCTACTATATACACGGCGTGACTGTATGTAGGACACGACATGACATGACATGACACGCGTGATTCTCTGGAGACGACCTTAAGCTCTTTTTGCGGTAAGCTGGTGTAGGAAGATGGTCGTTCCAAAGAGTTTCAAGAGACGCTTGTGGCATGACGTGTGTATGGCATGCACCATCACCACCATCACGTCGTATTTCCCTGAATCAAACTTGCGGGGCACCCGGAAATTGTTGACAAGAGCCATTCATTGGGTTGATCGACTTGTCTTCCTTTGGCACAAACCGACCGATGTAGACGTCGGGATACAGTATACTCTGCGTATGTACATGTGCATGTACTCTGTTGAAACAGGTTTAGCCTTGCAAGACAATAAAAACTGGAGGGTGGAGACGGACGTCTAGGAACTATAATAGTAACAAGGTGATGTAGCACACGACTTGTATGTAGATGCTTCGGGTCAAGATTCGATGAGATGAAGAGTCAATTTCGAGACGCTACTGGAACCCTTACCACGACCACAGAAAACAGAAAACAGACACCAAGGCAAGCGGTGTTGTTCGTTTTGGCCAACGGAAGCAACATCAGATTCAAACGAGATGACAGTCCTACAAGGCTGCACCATCCAACGAAAACCAGAGGCCAAGCCCTTTTAAACGCGTAACGCGCATCGGAAAAAAAAATGTATCGAGTGCAAAAAGTCATGCCAGAGCTGGGTTGCCAAATACGTTAGCAACCACACCGGGTTGCTTTCGGCAATTGGCATGGCAACCACACAATTCGTAAGGCTACTTCAAAATCAACGGGTTTTACTGCTTGTCCTCAGCCCACTGCACGAGTCCGCTGCTGAGGGGGCATAACTGCGCCATAGCTCAGCCCAACACCTTGTCCAGCTCTTCGACGTCTAGCTTGTCATCCGCCGCCCCTGCTGCTGCTGCCGGTCCCGCATCGTCGGTGAGGCTGTTCAAAAAGTCGTCGAGGTCATCGTCACCAGCAGGAGTGGCTGCCGCCGCGTTGCACACCCATACATAGCATAGCATAGAAAAACGACGTACAACACCAGTAGGGAAAAAAGGGTATAACTTGTCAACACATGAAGATGGACGAGGCGAGGGAATCAGAGCAGCACGCCAATTTAACCAATACATATGGGGAGGAGGGGAATACTGCACAAATTTGGACACAGGGGGAGAACCGAATGATTGGAAAACAATTGCGTGGCACGCCGTATTTCCCATTCCATTCCCATTCTCATTCTCAGCACCAAGTGCCACTCCACAACTCCACAGGGACAGCGCACCCTTTGTCCAGCTGCGAAACAGATCTACAGATCTTTATGCGGCAACACTACACTCCAGGTGAAAATCTGATGCTGCAATATGTATCGCAGAGATGCGCATCCGCAGAGTGGTGCACCGCTGTGTCACAGCAGTGAAAAACCCAACGTCCATGTGGATTGTATGGGCAGGTGCTACCTGGCGAGGGCATTATGCAGAGACTGTCCGCAAAACATCACATCCAACGTTACCTTTGGGAGGCTCTGCTGCTGGTGTTTTGAGTGGGACAGCTCCTAGCTTGGTCACGCTGCCACTTGCGCCCTTCCCCGCAGCCGCGGGAGGTTTGCCTTTCCGCAACTCAGCGAAATCGTCACCGTCATCGCCGATTGAGAAGGTTGACATCTACATCACAGCAGCAGCAGCATACATGCATACATGCATACAGTGAGACGTGACGTGCGGCGCAAAGTTGTGGCTATGAAGACCACTATTGTCAGAGAGTCTATGCTTGCGTGTATATACTCACTCACGGTGCAACATCACAAATTGTAGTGTGCGATATTTCATTCTTGACCGATGTCGATCTGATTTGTAGCCAAGATCATTAACAACAAAGTGCACGGCTCAAGCTTTTCCGTCGACACCGGGGACCGTGAACAACGGCCGGCACTTGGCTGGGTGAGCTATAACTCTGACAAGGTCCAAATAAATGTGAAACAGGAAGAGGTGCAATATTAGGCTATACAACGTGCCATACCGCAAGGGTTATTTCACAAGACCACAAGACCTCCAACCTACCTTCCCCTTGAGGGGGTCCTCGCTGCCACCATCGAGGTCTAGCAGTGGTGCCGCTCCACCCGAGATATCATCCTCCACCGCAATAGGAGTACCCTCGCGCTCGGCGTCTAGCGTGCGAAGCAGCGCGTCGTTGATCTGACAGCGGAGTAGAGTAGAGTGTTAAGTGCAGTCGAAGAAAATATTTGTGTGATGTGTTGATGGCGATAGACGCGCGCAGGAATAGGAATCCTGCTGTTCTCAGACCGGTACCGATGGCCCGGCGTTACTTTACGCCACGATTTAGAAGTCTTGAGAGCCATTTGATTTTCGTACGCCATCATCCCGTTAACGTTTGAGACATGCCTAAAAGAGACGACGAAATATGTACCGAGGAGAGGAAAACCTTTGCGGAACGTTGCCCCTTCCTCCAGCAAGAACACGTTACGGCGTTGCACCCACCACACCAACACCCATGCAAACGAACAGACGACACACGCACGTACAATACACAGTAGAACAGAAAAGCACACGAGGCGAGCCGCTCGCCGAGAAACTGTTCTACTGTACTCCCTCTTCCTCAACACCTCTTTGTGCACCCCACATGTCCACATGTCCATGCGCGCATCGAACATGTACTACTGTACAGCAGTATTGCACTGTATTGCACTGTATTGTACCTGTAGACACTTGGCGAAGGTGTCCTCTCCAAGCGCGCCGCCCACCCCGGCCTCGACAAGATCAACCATCCTAGGTCGGCATGCCTCGAGGAACCCGACCACCTCTGACAGAGCCGTGTCCTTGTCTACGCCAGCCGACTCGGGGAGCATCTCACGGCACAACGTGATCTTGTCCTTCACCATCTGCCCAATGACAACGGACCATGGTGCCGCATTGTCGTACCAAACAATCGCGGAGCAAAAAACAACAAGCAAAACAGCGCTGGAACCCCGGAGACATGTGGAAGATACATTAAGACAATCGGTCCCACGAGTGTGGTACCTAGAGGATGAAACCGGGGCGTGTTCCGTCGAGACCTCATGGAAATACTGTTTCGGTCTGGCACACATGGTGCTCTGGGAGAGAGAGAGAGAGATGGCATCGTGCAAACCTCATAGCACCCGGGGTCTGTGGATGCACAACCTCTGCGACTACAAATATGAAGACACTGAAGCTAAAACCTTGTACAATAGCGGCACTGCGCTAACAGCTCATGTGTTCACAGTTCACAGTTCACAGGTATGCATAGAAATATGGTCTTCGCCTCACGGACAGGTGGACATGCTGCAGAAAAAGGATTGGAAATGTTTTGTGAGGTACAGCAGTAGGGGCGACCAGACTCATGCTCGGGGAACTCAAGAGCTACCACAGCTGTCAATAACCGAATCACCAGCGAATGCCTTAGCTAGAGTGCAGCTAGAGTGTACAGTACCCGTCACCCCAGACCAGAGGAGCGTTCTCAACGATAACGAAGCACGGCGCGGAGTTTCGTCACCTCACAGCCGTATCCAAGTGGTACACAAGTACACGTTAAGCCTCTTAGGGAGGTAGGTGGCTTGCCCCATAGGGGCGACGCAAAAGGACATGGTCAATACAATCGCGGTCGCATCGTTGCATCTCAGCGTCATGACATTCGGTAGCGAGTGCCGGGTTTGCGTATACTACATACAACCTGCAGATTTACCTGGAATTTTGCATCATCATGTGCGGGGTACTTTTTTTCTCGCCGTGACTCTTCGCGTGTGCGTATGTGTGTGCTTTTTTGTGACTTGTAGTCGCGTCTTTCCTGCAGGTCCTACTGCTGTAATCCGCTGCGTTTGATCACTCGCTCTTACGTATTCTTGCTGCCCACGGTCTGTGGGACTGGTGGGCGTTGCGTGGGGATCAAAGTAAACTGTTTTATGCAAAGCACTTTTTTTGTATTTCTTGCGGAGGCTTTCTTCGCAAGGAACACGTCTCCGGGGTATAGAGCCAGTTCTTTCAACTGTGGGAGTCATGCACAAGCGCCACGGGTGACTGATGGTCCTCGGGCGTGCGCGGAAATGTACCGACGACCCCCCGGCGTGCCCCTGAGAAGGAAGTGTGAGAAAAGACTCGCTTCTGCCAGCGAACGATATCCCGAAGCACGAAAACAGGAGAAACGGTACACATACATACACAAAACCTCAACAGACCCTTGTGCAGAAAAGCAGGGGCCACTAACCCAGATGCACAAAACGGGTGTAGGAAAGGAGGCACCTGGAGATCTTCTTCTAGCTTCTCCATCGTTTGGGGGGGCGCTTCGGCTGCACTCCTCACTCCTCCCCCCCCGCCACCGCCACCGCCACCACCTCCGCCACCGCCACCAGCGCCCGCCATAGCTGCGGACGAGGAGGATGAGGCACCGTAAGACGCCGCCGCAGGCGTGAAGGCTGTGGTTGCTGCGTCTGTTGCCTCTGGGAAACGAGCACCCTGGGCCTTCAGGCTGCCGATCACCACAGGAGGATACATGGCATACAGCCGCACCAAGTCGACAACGTAACGTGGAAAATATGGGCTATGGTCAGGGGGAGAGGACAGAGGTGGCATGTAATGTCATGTCGATGAAGATTTTTCGCATGCATAGAACCCTTCTGGCTATAAAAACCATGGCAAGGCGAGCACCGCAGGGGGAAAGGTGGGGTAAAACAAGAACAAAAAAAATGAACAATCTCCTGTGTGACCTTCCTCCACTGTGACCCCGGCTGATGAGTCAGGAACATTCGCCGAAAGGCCTGTTAACCGGCGCTGCATTAGATGGGACAAACACACACACACATGTATTATATTTAGCAGCGAGGGCATGACGACCTCCTGTAGGTTGACTTATTTCGATGTCGTACAGTAAGCTCTCATGTCAGTGCGTAGGTAATAGCTGTGAGTCGGGAGCGCGGCCGACGCTGTGCTCTCTGCCGCAACGCCCGCGCGGCCCTCAACAAACAAACACGTGCACCGCAGCCAAGCTTTCAATCATTGCTGGGGGAATCTCATCGTATTCTACTGGAACACCACCGTACCGCGCTGAACGAAGTTGACACAGATATGCACACCGATTCTGCTGGAAAACAGACGCACGGCAACAGCAGTGCACCTCAGAGGCTCCGCGATGATGGTACGATGATACTGTGATCTGCTGTACAGGCAAGGTGAGGTTCATTACGGAGGATACCACGCACACAAGGATCAGGCCGCTGGGGTTCCTTTGCTCACCGGCCGTATGTTTCCGAGTAAGCGAGGCTCCTGTCCGATTGGAAAGCGATTCCCCAGTCTTGGATAAGGCCAAGAGCGCGACTACGCACCTGATGCAAGATAGTATACAGTACAGACGACGACCAGGCAGGTGGACCAAACATGACACATGACAGACGCCGTTTGAAGGCTTGCAGGTTGCAGGACGCAGCAGGGAGGACGCGAGGTGGAGAATCAACAACTTATGTTACAGCTATCGACTCTATCTTCTCCGATACAGCAGTCGGCACATACTCCGGCAGAGGACAGCGCTATACATGTGGCACATGTTCGATATGTCGATATTTCCAACAGCCCTCAGCAGTTCGCTCATAGCCCCCAGCAGCAACGTCACATCTACACATTGTATGCTACAGTACTGGAACGGCGGAACAGCGGCGATAGAGAGATATAGATGCTGCACTGCTGCATGCACAGGTACTTCCAGTTGAATACAACACATACATATTGCATATACAATACTCCGTATGTACCTCATATCCCTTCTGTCCGTTGCAGAGCCCTGCGACCTCTGCCAGAAACTCTCTTGCGCCGAGAGCTCGGTGAAGCGGCCTGGAGCAGTTCTTCATGGTCGTCTCGCACAGAGTTAGCGTCAGCCCAAGAATTTTCGGGTTGTCGCTCTTGAGACGGCGCTTCAAGGCCTTCGCGGCGTGACTCGGTCCATCTCCCTGATGGTTGATCTGATCGATCGTGCAACGTGCAACAACAATCAAGAGATCGCCAGGCCGTGAGTCTACATGGTGTACCACCACAGGAGACTACAAAGGTTAAATTAAGCCCATCTGTTGCACAGCTGCGAGCGCAGCACTCCTGCCCAGCCTTACTGCTGTGGAAAAGAAGAGGAGCTGTACTGCTGTGGTAGGTACTGCTGTATGCTGTACGCTGTGCAGTGTTCAACCGGAATTCGGAAGATCGCTTGTGATGTTCAACTTGCGAAAAAGAGTCGGAGGAATAAACAAACCATTTCCTAAAAACACCACCACACGCGACCTACCGCAGAACCTAATGTATGGAGGAAGGAATGCCGTACATGCTCACCTCATCACAAATTTGCATGTTCAAAGCCCAGTCCGTGTTGACGAGGGATTCGGAAGTGGCTTTTTCGATCAGCGACCCTATCCCTGTGGTGAATTCGGTGCCAGGGATGCCGATGTTCGCTAAGAAATCCATCCTGTCCTGGCTACTCTGTCTCGAGTAGCCGTGCAGTAGATAGCAAACGTGTTGAGCAGGTCCGCAGCGCAGGCAATAGAAAGGAAGCTGAGCCACTAGCCCACCGCCTGCGGTGTTGCTGCTGCAGAGAGAGAGACGCAGTCCCAGCCAAATCCCCAATCAATGCACAGCGCACACAGCAGGCACGGAACGCACAGGGCAGGGCACCTTGGTGGAGGTCCGCGGAATCACCTACCTGCACACTCTGTCGTCGCCGTACAAGTATGTACCTATCTCACACCCTGATCTCATCCAGCGACCCCCCCTCACCGTTCACTTGCGTTCACGTGCGTTCCCTTTTCCATGATTCACGAAAATCGAGCAACAGACAGACAAGCAAGGAAGAGATAGCACAACCATAGGGCGTGGAGAGGGTTCCTAGAGAGCGAGAATGGCACGACCATCGAAGAGGTGAGTGTCGGCGGTTATTATTGTGATCAACAAGCTTGGATTTCGACATGGACAACAAGACAAAAGACAAAAGAGTGTCGATACACACTTCGGGACTGTAAGCAGGACTCCGCGCTGTTCAACCGCCGGTTTGCCTGCTGTCGACTGCTGGTTTCGCCAACCAGTCGCCGGGTTGTCGCGATGGCACAACAGCGCTGTATGTAGTTTCAATCCAACTATTGCTGTATGGCATGCATGCACCTCTCCTGGTCGTATTTGTGTTTGTAGAAGGAGATACTCCTGTGCAGCAGAGTAATGTTAGTGTTTTGGCCAAGTTCGAGGTCACCGCGCCAATCCGGATACAGGGCGCCAACCCGGATACAGAGACAGCGGGAAACAGCACAACTTGGCGAGAGCGACAGCGAGTGTATGATGTACTTAGTATGATATAGGCGGGAGTCGAGGGCACACCCCATACAACATGCCACACGTCAGTCGGTGTCGCACCAAGGTGAAACTACTTCCAGTTGAACAAGGACGGGACGGGCGAGATGCTGGTACTGAAGCTGGTTCACTGACAGCAGTATCGAATCGAGGGTGTGGCTTCCCCTCGCTACAATATAATAGCGCAGTACAGAGTGCTACATCACAGGTATCCTACCGCAGTGTAGTCTACCCACACACGATTTCGAATCCACAACTACATCTCTGTATCCAGGACATTTGCTGCTCTTGTATGTTGTATCAGGCGTACCGCACCCTACGCGCAGCGCGATCACATGTCTCCATCGTGGCTCCGATATAAGTTATAGGGAGGGTGGTGTGACAAAGGCTCTCGACCCTCTTATATCGGAGACCCCTCTTATATCGGTATAAGAGGGTACAGTACCCTCTTACAAAGGGGGAGATGGGGAATAACGACAAACGCAGGCCTTTGACTACAGCACAGCGTGGCGTGTGTTTCTGGTTATTCCCGATCTCCCCCTTTGTAAGAGGGTACCCTACAATGACAATGACAATGGAGTGATGGAGTGCCCCCATATGAGAGGGTACCCTCTTATACCGATGTAAGAGGGGGCCCCGATGTAAGAAGGTCGAGAGCCTTTGTCACACCACCCGCTTATAACTTATAACGCAGCCACGACTGTACATCGTGGGTCGAGAACTTTTCGTCCTGCAACGCTGGAGATCACCGCGAGAAAGACAATCCGTTGTGCACGAAATCATAAAGACTAACCAAGTACTGGACTAATCTTGCTCGCCTCCGGGTCTGTTGCCCCTCCGAACAGTACCAACAGCGCTTTGGCGGACAAAAAAACCAAGCCGTCTGTGGCGGAGAGTAAAGCCAGTGCCTTGGAGTACAAGAAAAGCCTCAAAAGGTAGATCGGCTTGTAGACTAGACTACAGAAGATACGCTTTCACATCTTCGACCCTCGTTTCGTCTCTCGTTGCCGTGGGCTTTGTGGCTTGGGGAGCTGCCTCTTGTTTTGTACAGAGGGGGTACTGCTGTAGCTCTATTCTACCAGCAAGTCAATCGAGGGTTTAAAGCGGCACTACAATTGTAGCTGTCGACCGAATTCTTATTCGCTTTGCATTATTACAGTAAATAGGGAAGTGTTGAATGTGACTCAAATCAAGACAGACTATTTAGACTAATAGATCTTCTACAGCCTGTGAAGATGTCGAGCATGTGGCTAGCCCTGTACTTCCGGCTGTCGTGTTCTCGTCTCGTCTCGCTTCCACGAGCGGAGAGGTATTGCACGTGCTTGTGTAAGTGTACTGCTGTACGTGTACTCGGATCGTACCGAAACGTAGGGAGAGGTAAGAGGTATGGTATGGTATGGTATGGTATGGTATGGTATGGTATGGGTGACGACGGCAGACAAGTTTGAAACACTGCAGCTATAGTACTTGTATCGCTGGCATGGTGAATCCTCGTTTTCACTTCAACACGCTCGACCTCCCCCTTTGTTTTGCTTTGCTCTGTGCTTCGTGCGTGGCCCTTCTTGCCCCTCGGAAGGAAACCTGCTGGTGCGGCTGGATCAACGTCACCACCCAGCAGCAAAAAGGTAGGGCAACATGTCTTACGCGTTGTTACGCATTGTATGCACCATCTGCATCCCCCGTGAGTAGCCGCACCCAGTATTTTCCGGTATTAAGCACGAACACCTTACAGCAGTACCTACCGTCCTCGTGGCAGTTTAGTTTAGTTTCATTGAACACCGCGGATTTTGGCAAGTTTAGTACAGACATCAATTATCGGGACTGAGCCTTCAGAGGTGTAGTATACTAATCGTTACCATTTGCTTCTTACGGTACAACTTTGGTTCATCGCAACAGCTTCATCATCGTGTGGCAATTGCCGCAAGCTTTTGGGCTTGGATGGTGTATGACAATTCCCCGACAAGCTTCTAAATACCGAAATTGCAGTGATTGTGCTTCACTATTTAGTTTCCTTTCAAAAGACTTACAAATATCCAGGCCTAAGACCGACCATTTCGAGTCTCACCAGTGTGCTGCTACTGGTAGTCCCCCTATCCTCCGCGGTGAAGCAAATGCGCAGGTTTTCTTTTTCGGTGGTATTAACATGTAGACGTCTTTCTGTCAACGTTTGGCCCTGCTGAAGTATGAAATATTCCGTGATGTTTTCTGCAGTCTCCATGACATCACTTAGTTGTTGATCAAATGGTCTTCTGCCCATCTCGTGTCTATTTACGGTGGCGATTGTGCACTCGCAGCCTCGAACTCCGGCAAAACCCGCCAAGACCAATAAAGCGGAAGACCGAAAGTCAGGCAGGAAGAACGCGGCGAAGTGGGCCGAAGTCACGCTAAAAAAAAAACGCACATCAGGCGAGGGAACGTCTAGCGAGGATGAGGATGACAACGTCAGCGATGCCATGGAAACTTCGGACCTAAACGACGACACGCCAGGTCCATCAGTCCGAAAACCCCCCGCCAAACGGCCTGCCCCCTCCCGCAATGGAAGGACTCGGAAGCCTTCGCTGCCCCCGCCCATGTCGGAAACCATTTCGGAAACAAGAGCACCCCCTTCGACCTCGTGGCCAGAATCAGGATCAGGATCAGGATCAGGAAGGAGGCCAGCACAATCGATGTCGAACGGTAGCCCGCCGGCTCCTCCGCCAGGTACACCTACAGCTACACCTACCAAGAGGGCGACAGGCCGTCGCCTGGAAGGAAAAACGTACACACCCAGCCGCAAAAGTAGCTTTCTCCGGCACGCTAACGGGACCGAGGGCACGGATTCGGCTACCGCAGCCTCGGCCTCCGACGGTCCCAGCCTAAACTCGGACAATCTCGGAGGGCCGAAGACGCGTGGCCAAGCTCGGCGGGGGCCGAGTTTCTTGGACCGCGAGCGCGCTGGGCGGGATACAGTGGCTACGGCAGGCGCTGAGGGAAGAACACCAGACATGAAAGGGACACGGGGACAGAAGGACAAGAGCAAGAGCAAGGTGGATTCCGTGCCGCAGCCGGCGCAAGCGACGGATGCTGGTGCTGATGCTGATGGTGATGATGCGCGACCGAGGCGGGGCAAGAGTCTAGAGTGGACTTTCAAATGGTGAGCACAATGTTGCGGTACGGGCCAATCGTCCATCATTTTCGTTGTCTCGCTGTTGCAGTGCTTAAGAACCAGGTTCAACACGACCGTGGAGAGAAGGCGGACTCTTACTCTTTCCCCTGACACAGGTTCATCCTACTGCTTCAATCTCGCGGATACATCCCCGCCGTGCTTTGCCGCCAATCGGCCGTTGACTACCGGATCGTGTGCGTGTGTGTCATTCTCACTCCATTGCGATGTTTCCCTATTGTGTATCGACCCACTGCTTCTTTCTTCCCGTGTTCCTCTTAACCCCACAGTGCTGTGGTGGTGGTGCTAGCTCCGGTGGTGGTGCTCCTCCTCGTATCGGGCTTGCTAGTGGCGTGGCCCCACGTGCAGGTTGCGGCGGGAGGCGCGTGGGGGGCTTTCCGGGGGCTTACCGCCAAGACACCGTCCGTAGAAAAGTGCTTCCTGCAACCGGGGTAAGGGTCTACACTACACTACACTAGACTACACTAGACTAGACTACACTAGACTACACTAGACTAGACTACACTAGACTAGACTAGACTAGACTACACTAGACTACACTAGACTAGACTACACTAGACTAGACTACAGGTAGCACTTGGCGGTAGAAGTTGTTGACTGGTTGATAGCAAGGCCGTGTCGCCCGCTGATTTGGTGTGTTGCTTGCTGGGAGAAGTAGGCGAAGGACAAGGACTTGAAGGAGACAATGAACCAGCCTCGTTGATACCATTGAACTCATTCGGTCGGTCAACTTGCGCGCTTGAGGTGCGGAAGGCGGGACGGAAGGAAGGAAATGAGTCTTAATCTTAAGTATACCGTCTTCTCGCCATCGGTAGAATAGCTCCAACATAGGCACGTTGTGTTACTATAGAGAAGCATTCCTGCCGCACCGAAAACATTCGCCGTAAGGGCTACCGTCTAAAATTCTCTGTTTATGCCGAATTGTTTCATCGCATTGGACGTGTTTCAGTTTCGAAACAGACGAAGTGCGTTGCAAACATGGATGCCAGGAACAACACGTAGCAATATACTTATTGTCCTAAAGTGCGGCTGACATTCCGCCTTGCGTACAAGTACAACTATGCCCGCTCGGCAGGCTACGAGGTGGGCCATCTGTACATACCTTGTATGGTACCGCTTGCTTAGGCCGCTCGGGCTCTCGCCCGCTACAGTATCGTGTCACATTGATCACATCTGGACGATGCCCTGCCTTACCTTGCGCAAAAAGTTATACTTTCACCGTTGTCTATCCTCTTGCCCCGCTCCTGCACGTGCCCCTTGGCCGACCTCAGTGAGCAAGAGGACATCGTCTGCAAGAGCGGCACGGAGGCCATGGACTGCCCCGACCACGCAACGTGTGGCGCCGGTCGTATCCTTCACTGTAACCTGCCATACACCTTGAGGAAAGACAGAGCGGCATGCGTTCTAGTTGCCGAAGCCGAGAAAGAGGCTAAAGCTGTCGTAGAAGCGCTCCGGTGAGACAGAGATAGAGACAGAGAAGGGAAGAGCCAAAGGAAGGCACAAGAAATCACACGAAAGACGCAACACGCAAAGAATGTAATCATACGACGGAAAATAAGCGACGAACGACGAAGCAATGGCTACCTTCTCAATGCTGTGTGTGGTATGCGTATGTATGTCTGCCTTTCGAAACACATCCGTCGCACCCCCAAACACGTGCCTTGGTTAACGTTCCGGTTTATCTTGTGGGTCGATGATGACGATATCCATGAAGCAACTATATCAAGATCATCAAACAGTACTCACCCTAACCCACTCAGCCACTGGTTTTGTTATGAGACCCGACTTGAGCTACCTACCTACCTACCTACCTCGTTGTGTTCCTGCGTCGTTTTTGTGAGAACAGAACTAAGTAAGAAGTTAACTACCTAACCCTGGTGTAACTGTGTCTAACCTATCCTATGGGCGGTGCTTGTTTCCCAGAACACTGACGGCGGAAGAGCTATGCAAAGGGAAGGGTCTGATCATGCCTAGGGCATCTGCTCGCGGGAGCTTCATCACGCTAACGGATGCGGCCACCGCACAGAGCAGGTGAGAGCCAGCGCAACATGATGATGATGATGATGATGATGATGATGATGATGATGATGATGATGATGCCGCTCGGGCATGACGGCTCTACGGCGATTTTGCCGAACCAGCTTGGGTCGCCGAGAAGGTGGTGACGACAGAGCCGCGCTGCCATGTACTTGGGTGTGTTGTGTTTGTGTGTTTTACATCACGGCACCGCCCGGGTCCCGTGCATGCGCGCAGTGCTGCTGTATGACAGTGGTGCGCTCGTCGTTGCCCAAGAAGCTGAAGATGATCATGTCATGATCCGATTCGTTGTGTCTGCGATAGTCTGCGAGAGGACAGGCACAAGGACCACTACCAAGCTATTTTGTTGTTTTTGTTTGTGCATGGCAGGGGGCCGCTTTCTCTTTTGGCCGGAATGCCGCCGGGCAACGTAGTCGGCCTGATCGAACTAGAGGGAGAGCCTGCGCAAGTATTCGGGGGAGGGCAGGATGGCGCCGAGGGCTGTGCGGGCAGCGGCATGGAGAGGGTCGCTCGTCTGTCGGAAAGCGCGCACGACGCCGTGATGAGGACCCTGGGTTGGCGATGCAAAGCGCGTCTTGCCGCTGGAAGCTGGTTTATGACGTACTGGCAGGTGAGCATTCGTCGCTTGAAGGGTATAATATAATAGCGCTATTCGATGTCTGCGGCAGGTGAAGGCGGCAGCAGCAGCGCACTCTCAATGACCATTTTTTTGTTTTGCTTTTGCCTTGTCTTACCTCCCCTACGCATGTTGGTGTCGACATCACCAGTGCCCGGCAATGTGAACTTTTTTTGTCAGCACTTAATGCGGAGTATGTGATATTGGCCTGCTGCATCTCTGACTTGGACTTGCTAGCCTAGCCTTCGGTGGTTGTGGGGGTCACACCCATGTCACATGTATTGGCATGACTTAACGGCCTTTTTTTCCCCCGTCAGATTCCCATTTTGTACAATGAAACATGGCTTGAAAGGTGAATCCTGGTATTTTGATGTGGTCAAGACGCCGAAATTATGACAGGAAAAGAGTGGCACGTATGATAGCACGATAACAGACGACGCAGAGAGGGCACAGCAGTCGGTGGTGCCGAGACGGAAGCCAAAGCCAAAGATGACGTCACCGTTCCGTGGGGAACCTTGACCATTGACAATTCCATTCTACAACCCAAGGAATTGATCCCATTCTTCTGTAAGTATAGTATAGTATAGTATAAGTAGTATTGTAGGGCTCCGCGAAGAGTAAAGGCGTTTGAACGTTTGAACACGGACTGTGCACGCTGTCTGCAGCAGACACGATGGCTGCCCAGTACCGCATAGAAGCTTGGCGTGTGCTCCTCTCCGTTGGTCGTGGATTACGGGACGGATCGTTCGCCTAAATCAACTCAACCCGCTTGTCGTCCCTCGCCCGCTCCTCCCGTTCCCCTCAGTATTGTCTGGCGATGTACTGTTTGGTGGTGGGGGCAGTGTGTCTGGACCTGCGGAGACGCAACAGCTACTACAGGCACGTACAGGTACGAAGCTACGCAAGGCGTGAAACGATAACTAACGTTGACCTTGTAGTTGCTCTTCGCCGTAAAGGTTTATTCGGCAGCTGTATCTTGGTGTTTCAGTCAGCTTGTGTTGTCTTGTTTGGCCCACTCGTGTCGTTCCACTGTGCTTTACTCTTCTCCGGAACGCTGCTTCTCTCGTGGGATATCTCGTGTATGATCGAGGCCCTAAGTTCGGCAAGCGCTGTACGGCGTTGAGAGCTATTTGGATGTCGCTGGCCGCCGTTTTTCAACCACTACTGTTGCGACAGACTGACGTCCGTGGAGGCTAAGATTCTTTGGCCCTTGATGAAGCTGTATGCAGGCCTAAGATGAAGATGCAGGCCTAAGACAGCAGTAGTGTTGGTTCATCCTGCCCTTATCTCGAGTGTGCCCCCCCCCCCCCCCCCCCCCCGGGGGGGGGGGGGGGGGGGGGAAACCCCGGGGTAATTTTTGGGGGGCCCCTTTCCCACTTTTGGTACCAAAAACCTGGGGGACCCCCCAGCAAAGAACCTTCCCCCATGCAGGGGGAAAACTCCCCCCCTCCCGGGGGGAAGCGAAAATATTTTTGTTTTTTTGGGGCAAAAAAAATTCTATCCCTTATATTTTTTTCAAAAACCCTGGGCCCCGGAACGG